TTTGGGAGTAATTTCGGATTCAAAGCGAGTAGCAATTCTGTAATTTCGGTGAACAGTACACGCGGGCGACACCTCACCGCCGGTGACCTTCTTCTGGTTTCCAGGCGCGCTCGTGGCCATCTTCGGCTTCGCGCTGGCCGCATTTTAAAGCCTCCGACGTCGCCGTTCTTCTCCGTTTTCCCTGCTCTGCTTTTCCCGTCGCCTCCGCCGCTGCTCCGTTGAGTTGTGCCGTCGCCGTAGTGCATTCCCAGCCTCGCCAAAGCTTGCCACAGCTCCGCTTGCTCCTTGCGCACCCAGCTGACCCACCCTTGTAGCTTGACTTCGCCGGGAAACGTCGCTCGGTGCCTTTCTTCCTCGCGGCCGGCAGCGTCACCGGTGATCCCGCTTCACCGTGGCCGGAGCTCTGCGGTTAGCCTCTGCCCTTGCGAAGTGTTGCTCCATCTTCTCCATGTTGCCGTGGTGCTTTGTGCCTTGTTGCTTGATCATTTCGTCCACCGCAGCCACCGGAACACCGTCATCGACGACAGCTTGCTCCGCCGTGTCTGCTCTGCTCGCCGACCCGCTTTTCTGTTGCTCCTCCGATTCGGCCATCAACTCCAGCGTGTTTGGGGTTAGCTGTTGTTTCTTCCCAAGCATTTTGTTTAACCATTACCGGCCTCCCTTCGTCGGCGTATCGTTGCCGCACCGCCGTGTCCGCCATGGCCGACGTCGAGCTCGGTTTGGGCTGTAATGGGTGTAATTAGTGCCATCAATAGGTGCGCCTCGTCGTGGTGATCACGTTGGTACCCTCGTCGTCGCCGTTGATCTCACCGGCGGCGAGAAATCGCCGGTCAAAGCACGGTCGTCGTTGCTGCGCACGGGAGCACTGTGCTGACGAGTGGGGTCACCCTGTCAGTGACTGTGTTGTTTGAAAATGGAATTTTTCTTTTTCAGAAATGAATGAATAGTATAAGTTTTTGTTATTTTTGTATAGAATTAAATAGAGCTCCAAAAATTATGAAAATTTTTGTGTGACCTCTCTGAGATGTAAACTATTTAGGAAAAATATTAAATGTTGCTTTTCAGTACTTTTTGAATGTGATAAAAATTGCTCAATTAATTAATAAATGAGTTTCCCTGATTTTTCTAGGCTTAAATAATTATCAAAAACTTATGAAAATTGTTTTGCACTTAGTTATCATATAATGAACCTTTACAAAAATTTTGAGCTCAATTAGAGAAAGTTGATTTATTTCATAATTTTTAATTAAATAATTAATTCATAAAAGCAAATAGTAAACCTTAATGATTTAGGTTTTATTTGAATTTTGGATTGAGTGATGACATTGGGTCATTAGCATAAGATGATTCTTGGTACTTAAAGTAAGTAGTTGGGTTTATGAAAAAGGTTTAGTTAGTTTTGACTTGTAACTGTACCGCGAAGGAAAGTTGTATTCAAGTTAATAATTTTTGCATCCATCGTCAATCATCATGTTTTATATCTCGCATCATGTTAAACATGGCATTGTTACTACGTGTAGTGAACGAAAGCAAGAACGTGGTAGTCAATCAAGTTGTGGAGGAGGTTAATCCGTCTGTTGAGGTCGGATTTGATATCTGTGGAACGTCTCCGGAACCTGACTTTTCCGTTAATCAAGGCAAGCCCCGGATGCATTTAAACCTACCTTATGCTTTACAAATTTATATCGCTTTTGCTTTTCAATACTGCATTAAGTGATTAGGAGTTGAGTGAAAACCTAATTGGTGCATTACCAACCTTGTTTTTTCATATCAATCTTGTTACCCGTTTTAATTCGAGAATTGCTTAGTTATGTTTAGTCATGCTTAGACAAATAAACGTCGGGTGATTACCTGTCACCTGTAAGAATTACATGGGATTTTGATATGATTGGTTACTTATGTTATCATGAGATATGAGCATGTGAAGTAATAAATCTAGACCGGGCGGACTCGGTGTGTGAGAGCCACAAGACATGGAGGTCTTGTGAGCAGGTTCTTTCCGCCTGTGTCGATTAAGAACCGTCCGTTGTTGAATTGCATGAGGTGAGACTTTGTAGTACTAGCTACATACTCCGGTAAGCCTTAACTTGGTTATTCTATTACGAGAATGGCTACTCGCGCACTGCGAGTGGAGAGATGGCGAGAATAGCGTGTACCCACGTGGCAATGGGCTGGATTGGTGGAGTATTGTATTCTCGGGTGGCGCGGACCCGTTCTTGTTTTAGAGGATCTGAGGGCAGGTTGGTATATGTAGGTCAGGGATCTGCATATGTCGTGTGGTTGGGAATCCCCAGCTGGGTTTTGAATCGGTTTGAATCGTCGTTTCTCCTCGGTTATGGAGACTCAACTCACTGTTCATCATTGTAGTTAACAAATGGAACTTGAGTAAGGTTTGAGAACGAGTTGGATATGAAGTTTCATGATCTCAATACGGATCATGTCAGCTTTATATATTATCTTTTTGAAGATAAAAATGTTGAAATAAATAATCTTGTTAGAGAGCTTTTACGCAAAGTCATGGATGATTCGGGGTTTCCCGTAGACACCCGACAGACTTCTTAAGTTACCGGGAACATATGCATAGTCGTCAGATGTCATTGGACAGTGACAGGTGCATGTGGGCTCTATAATTTAGGAGGTTCTGCCACAGAAGCGTGGCCAAGAGACCATCCCAAAGTCACGCTCCATCTGATAGTACCACTCGGCTGCGATGCCATCCAGATGCAATGACACCCACCACACCTTCTCGCCCTCCGCACACGATGCCGCGGAAGTAGTTGTCACACTTATTGAGCCAATTCAACGGATCCGCCTCTCCAATGAAGCCGGGAAACGGAATTTTGGGTGGGCGATGAGGCTCCCGGCGGCCTTCGACGTTGCCTTGATGACGGTCGCCACGGTCGAAGAGACGGTAGTCGCAGCCTCCGCGATCGAACTCCCGGCCGCCCCTGTCCCAGTTGAAGCCGCGATCGAACTCCCGACCGCCCCTGTCCCGGTCGAAGCCGCAGAAATCGCGGATGAAATCACGGCCATGATCCACGTCGTAGGGGCCGCGCTCGAAGTCCCTGTCGCGCCCGTAGTTGCGCCCGTCGCGCCCATAGTCGCGTCCGTAGCCGGCCACAGAGTCGCGATCGATGCGACCCGGCTCGCGACGACCGAAATGATCGCACGGGTCCAAGAACCGCTCGAGGTCGCGCAGAGTCCGCGCACGAAACTCCTCCCAGCGCAGTCCGGATCCATGTCGTCGTCATGAGCATCACCATTGTCGCGGGTGTTGTCTCTGCCGGCGCGGATGTCATCACCGCCACCCGCAGCATCATCCGTGACACCGCCCTTGCGGGCATCGACCTTGCCTGACTCGATGCGCGCCAGCCGGTGGTCATGGGAGTTGAGGCGATTGGTGATGGTTGTGAGTTGACCCAAGATACGATCCAATTTGGCATCCATGGCCGCAGGATCGTGGGTGCCGGACATGGTGATCGATACACCCGTGAAGGTCTCTAATACCAAATTGTTACGGCGTGGACGGGTACGATGGGGAGATCGCAGGCGAGAGTGGAGTGGAAGGCTGGATTGAGAATTGGAGCGCAAGGGATAGCGAGGAAGTGGTGCAGCGGGAGGTTCGCCGGCGGTAGCGGCAGAATCGCTCGCAGCCACCGTCGAAGGTAACCCGCCCACCTTGGGAGGTTTATTCCTTCTTCGATAAGTCCTCTTACAATCTCTAAGTGCCCTTTATATAATAGGTGCACTACTAACAACCCAAAATAGATTTCCTAAATATAGATTTCCTAAATTTCCTCCCTTTCCTCTCCTAACTTAATCCGCCGAGCCCCTTAGCCACGGCTAGGCCTGGGCCGGCGCCTATACTGACGCCCTACAAAGGTGTCTATAACAGAAGCAGAATTGCAATTTTCCTTCTCACATTCATCGCGCTGCCACAAAATCAATGGCTCAATACCAGGTGGAAGAGGTTCCTCCTTTTCTGACAAACTATCGCTAGCAACAACAGGCGATTGCGGAAGATGATGTATAACTGCAAATGTCTGTGTTGAACCCCACGGGACAAATCTTTTACGAACTGAAAGGCGCCGAGCAAGCTACTCATTATTGTCACTATATCCATTTTGGCATGGAGGTTTGAATGGCTTACGAGCTATTGCTGCTGCATCAGAAACTGAAAGAATACGTGGAATGAGTGCCTGCCTCCTTACAACCAGGTTACCCCTGACAGAAACCAGAGAAAATATAAGTGATGTCAAAGAAGATGATGTTAATGTGAAGTCGGATTAGCTGCCAATTGTCTATTTCCTGAGCAAACTGCACTACCGACTTAAACCACAAACTTCTCAGTCAGACCTCATGCATCATTCCCACCCCACCCGTCAAACAATCTAATAATCTAATGACGAAAGTAATAAATGGCCGATGGTATAGTACAATTGTACAAACATGCAGCATTGTCAGTAACTTAAGTTAACATTTTATCTCATATTTCTTTCACGTTGTACATTGTCTCATAAAATTGCAGAAACTCTTGGTGTTACATGCTATCTGGTAGTTAAGGTTTCATAAGTCATAACGAATCGAGCCCTTATTCATAATATTTCTGGAAATGTTAGATAACTTGTCACACTTGTTTGACATTCTTATTATCATATATACGCATCATTTATAGTAATTAGTAAACAAAATGCCTTAAGTAAGACAGGGCTTAAACCAATTAATTGACATTCAAGGGTTCAGACACTGGATATTGCAGAACAGATTCCTTCAGGAATTGAACCCATCAAATACTTGAAGAAATAATCAATCCTCAACAGGATCAAGCCATGTAACATTATTAGGCTTCCATGGGAATGAGGATTTGAAAATCCTAGTCTATCGTAGTCTAAACAAGACAGTGGGTGGGGGTTTGCGGGTTTGTCTTTGGTTTATGTCATGGAACTATTATAATGAACCTGTAAACATGATCCAAAGCACCCAAATGCAAATGACATGCTTCAGACGGTTCTAGAAAGGTGTGGACTTACTCTAACACACTCTGAAATGAAGGATACAGAATGTTGAATTTTCAACAGAAACACATAAGGCTATCCTTCAATGTTCAAAAGTCATATCCATTCATCAAAACTCTCCCCAGCATCTAAACCACCACTAATCCTCGATAGTACCAATCAGTACAACAACAGCTCACGAGCACATAAGTCGAAGACGAGATCCACTAGTCTAGAGGTTGATGTGACGGCGTCAGGGCGTACCTGACAAGAGCATCCACGTTCTGCGATTTCCTCTCCTTATCGGGAGCCGCCGCGCCGCGACGCAGGCCCCGAAGTGGCCGCCTGCCGTGGCCACGTGGTCGTCCCCGTCCGAGTCACCGCCCTCGCCGCAATCGCTTCTGCCTGCTTCCTCCGCTTCGTCCCCGCCGCCCGCGTCACTGCTTTCCCCCACGTATTCGTCGTCGTCGTCCGCCTCGGCCCCGCGGTTCGCCTCCGACTCTGACTCCTCCGAGTCGGATGAGACTGCAACGAGCTCGTCCTCGTCCCCATCGCTGCCGCGGCGGTTGTACTGGCTCCTCGAGGGCATCGCTGCCGCGGATGGTGAATAAGCGGAATGGGGATGAATGGAGCTGGCTCTAGATGCTTCGATTGCTGTTTCGGCTTTGGGGATTAGCGAGTGGAGAGGCGGATTCGATTGGAGTTGAATGAATTTTGGGGAAGGCGCTGCAAAATTTTTGGCGGTACGAACGGAAGCGTGCAGGGGAAGATGCGGGAAATGAAAAAAAAAAAAGGTAAATGGGCCAAGCTAGGTGGCTAGGGTCCCGACGTATTTAGCCCATCTGTATCTGGATAGCGCGTAACAACGGACGACTTGGTTAATTGGGCCACCTGTTGCAATCGAAAATGGTTAGGCCCTCCTAAGAGCATCTTCACCGAATCACCGGATCCTTTCCTTTAGCATCTTAAAATTTAGATAGGTAGGAGGCCTTTTTGGGGCAAAGTATAGGTAGGGGCTGAGAAAACTAAAACTAAATTATAATATGATCTAGCATATTGAGAAAATCTCATCCTTTTTATATGTGGGCCTCACATGTTAGTGATAAATAAATATTTTTTTGCTTTCTCTTCTCTTCCATTTCCCTGTCTCAACAATGCTGCAGCAGGCGGAGGCACGGCACGACAACCACAATGGCGGGCACGCGACACGCCAATGGCTACCCGCTGGGTGGGCGGCAAGGCACGGCATGGCAGTGGTGGCATCCTCGACTCAGGGCATAGCATTGGCATGGGATGGCTGCGCCGGCAGACGATGACCCTCCTGTTTAGTGAGGGGAAGAAAGGAAGTGAATTGAAAAAAAAAACTTGTTCTTCCTCTTTCTTCGAGGGATTCAGGGGTGGTTCTCTCATATTTGAGAAGAAATATGAAAGGGGGTATGCTATAATTTGATTTTTGCCATCAAACTCTTGTAGAAAAATATTATCACCTAATCTCAATAAGATGGAGATGCTCTAAGGATTGCCAAGGATAACCATGATCTAGCTTTTTTTCTATGTAACTAGCAGATATTAGGTAAGGACTTATTACATCCAACTTGCACATGAAAGAAACTACAATTGTTGCGAGCACCCAAAAATTCTAAAGACAAAACTTACAAAGCTGTGAACAGCAGATTATTCAATTATTATTGGTTAAAGATTTTCTTTCTTGAAAAAAGGATTTGGTTCTCACCTCTTCGGTAGTGATTTTTTTATCTAACATGGTGGTCTAACAACATGTTTAGATCCATTAGCACTAAAAATTAGCTAGCTAATAGCTAATAGTTGCTAATTTTTAGCTACCTAATTTTTGGTGGGAGCTGTTTGGATCCACCTGCTAATAGGTGGTTAGATAGTGAGTTGAAGATGCATATGAGCTATCAGCACCTATTAGCAACTCTAAAACTGCTAATAAAACTAATAGTTAGCAGCTCTCCTGCTAATAATTTGCAGGTTTATTAATACGTCTGTTTGGATCCATTAGTACTAATTTTAGTGCTAATGGATCAAACAGGCCCTTATTTAGGGTATGTTTTGATTCTCTCCTCTAAACTGTAAAACTAAAGCTCCAAACATGTGGTATAAAGTTAGACCTAAACTTTAGTCCATTTCATATTAGAGCTTTGGACAAAAAAAAAATGAGCAAAAATGCTTTAAAGTTTTTAGAGCTCTAAACTTTAGAGGAGGATTCCAGACAAACCCTTAGGGGCTCGTTTAGTTCCCACCAATTCCAAACTTTGACACTATACAAAAAGAAGATTCCCTGTCACATTCAAATTTGCGATACATGCATAGAGTACTAAATGTTGACGAAATCAAAAATTAATTGCACAGTTTGGTTGTACTTTACGAGACGAACGTTTTAAGTCTAATTAGTCAACGACTGGACAATTATTACTAAATAAAAACAAAACGCTACAGTGCACTACAGTGTATTCAGAATTCAGTCGGCGCCAACTTTCCAAGGAACTAAACGTGGCCTAGGTTTTAAGCCTTGCGATAGTTAACAGCTGAGATTTTGTGGTGAAATTTTTTAGTTGAAGTAGATTACCCTTTACATGAAAGTTGCCTGTACATATCCACATGTGCGTGAGGCTCGATTATGTCGAGACTTTACACATAAAAGCGTTGCAGTATAAAACGAAAAAAAACGCAGTTAATACATAGTGGAGTATATATACTACTTATATGTACAAACTAATTGATAGCACCATCTCTACTTCTCGAGCTTATTGAACATCCAAATCCACGAGCATGAAAGTTGCTGCATCTGCAGAATGAACTGACGAACCAGTGGCGGATCTAGGATTTTCTTAAAGGATATGCCATACCAAAATTTCACATGTATTTCGATAAAATCTATTTACCAACTCGGTAAACAATTATAAAAAGTTGCTACTCAATTCGGCATATAAGCAAGCAAAAATATGATCAGTCTTCAATATATAGATTAGTTCCTCTATTTTTTATAAGGCGCACACGTATATCAAGAATCGAACTTTAATATATTTGACCAATATTTGACTAACAAATTTGAATTATTATAATGCAAATTAGAAAATTCTGATACTGTTAGATTTGTAATTAAATGTACTATTCAATTATCATAGGTTCATAAATATCAATAATATAATATAAAATAAATAAATGGTTACAACATAATTTAGGAGACCGTGTCATGCGAAACTACGCCGTTTATATAGGAGTACAAAGTTGAAAAATTGCATGAAGTACAATACGAATATAACTCACACTCACGTGATATTGATGTTGATCAATCTCGCTACAATATATATAAATATAACACCGCCGCAACTGTAGTCTTTACTCCACGAGTCCTTCCAACAGGGAGTATTTGTTTGTAGGCTGATCCTGCATGCGATGTGTCCCTTCTATCGAGTCGTGGGCGACCGTAAAAGGCAGGCAGGTGAATCTACTCATGCGAAGCGACGGCCCATTCCAAACGCGAGGTGCAATACGCATGTCACGCATGGCTCAATCGCAGGGTATGCCGTCGCATATACGGCATACCTGTAGATCCGCCACTGTGACGAACTCGTCGAGAATGACTAAATGTCTACATACCAAACTTCCAAGCGCACGACCACACAAAGCGATGTTTACATACACTTCACTCTAATTTACATCTAAACCCAGCGATCTCGCCGACGCCCTAGCAGGCTAGCACTACTCCAGGTCCAGGTCCAGCTGGCTCATCTTGAGATGGAGGTGCTTGTGCGCGAACGCGTAGAGCCTGCCCATCTCGTCGCCGTCCACCGCGCCGTTGCGGTTGGCGTCGGCCGCGCGCACCGCCTCCCGCGCTTTCCACCACACGAACCACAGGTTGAGGCTGCGCAGCGCCCGCTCCAGCTCCTCCCAGCTGATCCGGCCGTCGCCGTCCGCGTCGAACTGGCTCAGCCACGCCCTGAACTCCTCCACCGTCGTCTCCCCTCCTCCGGCGCACGGTAGTACCGCATGAACGCCATTGTTACACACTACTGGTCCGGTGATGATAGCTATCCAGTATCCACGAGACAACCGTGGGCTATAGTTGATAACAACGCCGCTATATATACTGTCTCCCGGCCGGTCTGCGAGGTTAAGCCGGAACCGGAAGGATCAGGAGATTTGCAGTTCGGTTGCCGCACGTTTGGTGCGAGAGCGACGCCGGTCATGGACGGGGCCGGATGACATGGGATGGGGGCGGGGCGTGGAATTCGTGTGCATTGTTAGGCAGAGAGGAGAATCAAAGGTGCTGATCCTTGGACACCGCTTGGCCTTTTGACAGATGGTTAAGATTCGTTGCTTGAAACGAGAAGGCCGGCATCAGAATTCGTGGATAGGATGTGCTCGCGCGGGGACGAAGAATCGGATGCCTTCAACCTTTGCCGCGCACGCACTATTCATGCAGTGGACCGAGTGGTCATGCTGCTTGCCTAGTGACAAATTTGATCTCGTGGACATGGAACAATGAAGAATGTGACTATGAGCCACTACGGACAATTCATCTATGTTGCCAGTCGTATCCAAGTAGCCATGTACTGTTCTAGAAGATGACCGAGACGCGACGTTTGCTCAAGGATTCGTAACCGCCAGGTGCCAGGTTGCTTGTGAGAAGCAATAATCACGCATTGACTTAGCCATTAGGTAAGCGTTGGTCAAGAATTTCAGCAAAATCTTAGGTTGATTCTGCCTTATAGCAGAAGTAATCAGCTTCACAGCTGGTATTAATCAAGATAAGAAGATTCATTAAAAAAAAACAAGATAAGAAGAAATTATGACATTGAGTATTGAACTTCCAAAGTTTTCCCATGTGGGGAGCAAACTTCAAGGCCGAGGAAACCAATGCGCGTGCAGGTGATTTGCTATGTCCATTCAAGTCTGAATGACTGAATACACAATACGTACCTTCTTCGACTTCAATGAACCAAGGCCCAATTTTGATGCAAAATTTTTTGCAAAATGAGCACCGCAGTATTTTTTGTTGTTGTTATTTGAGAATTAGTGTCAATCATAGTCTAATTAAGCTTAAAAAATTCGTCTCGTGAATTTCGTCTAAACTGTGTAATTAATTTTATTTTTTATTTATATTTAATGCTTCATGCATGTGTCAAAGATTCGATGTAACGGAGAATCTTGAAAAATTTTACAAAATAAAGTGGAACTAAACTGGCCCCAAATCTTTTTACCAACTGGTGAAGGTCAGCTCTAGATAGTACCCTCCCACCACTGTGTTGTTCATCAGCAAAAGTCGGTTTTCTACCGGGTTTTCCAATTCTCTAGTCAGATCAGATTCTGAATCATACGGCTAGCACTTTGCAACGACTCGCTGCGTCGGAGTACTAGTCATCAACTTCTTATCCGCTGTAGCATCAGTCATGTTGTTTTTAACACTTTCCGAAATATTCACAAACGCGTGTCCAACATCATCATCTTCCTTCGTCCTGTTCGTTTGAACTTGTTTAGATGATAAGCTATGACTAAAAGTACTGTCGACTGATTTGACGTGAGAGAAAAATATTATTCGTTGACTAAAAAAGTATGGTTTAT